GCGAGTGTTAGTCAGAGCTCTGGAAACATCTGATTTTAGTCAGATGTAAAATTTGGTGTATATGCGGGTGAGTCAAGCACTCGGGTTACATGCGGTGTTAGTACCTGGTGTATATGCTGAGTGTTAGTCAATACTCGGGTACATGCGGGGGTTAGTCAGAGTCTCTGGTGTACAGCTGGGTTTATACCTGGGACATCTGAGTGTTAGTTTAGAACTCGGGTGTGTATGCGGGGTGCACAAGTACCTTGGGTGGGGTTGCGGGGTGTTAGTCAAGACTCTGGTGTGTATGCTGGGTGTTATCAGAGTACCGGGACATGCGGTGTTAGTCAGAGTACTCGGGTTAAAATCGGGTGTTAGCAGAGTACTCGGGTTACAGCGGGTGTTATCAAGTACCTGGACATGCGGGGGTTTAGTCAGATTCTCTGGGTAACATCGGGGTGTTAGCAAGTACCTGGTTTGTACATGCGGGGTTTTATGAGAACTCGGGTGACATGCGGGGTGTTAGTCAAGACTCGGTGTACCGGGGGTGTTGGGTTTACTGCTGATACAGGAGATAAAAAACAGTTTTGCTTGCCAGAGTTGTTTGTTGGGTCAGTGAGTCACAGTGTTCCAAGGGTTAGTGACTACACTTACCTTAAAAAATTTTTTTTTTTACGAAATTTCAATTTTAAAAGGGCTTAGAGCTTTTTATCCAACTCAGTTTTAAATTTTAAACGCTATCCAAGGTATAAAAAACCCCCCCCAAAGACCACCCACGGCAGTCGACAAAAAGTCCAGTACCTAATTTTTTGCTAGAAACAAGGCAGCAGGTTTAATTTTTCCACACCCCGGGGGTGGAAACACAGAGACGTTGTTGCTGTTGTTTTTTTTTTTTTTTTTTTTTTTTTTTGATTTTGGAAAAGCGGCATCTTTTGCCAAGCAGAACTAAAATTGAAACGGGGCGGTGCTTAGACCTTGAACCGAACAAGTGATATCCAAGACCGTGAGCAAAAATTTCGAAAATTGAAATTTGCTCGGCCTGGGAAATTTTATCAGAATGTCAAAGGGGCCAGGGCAAAAAAATTTTTCTAATAAATGTGT